TAGGTGAATGTAAAGAGACAATGCGTAATCATAGCGATTAATTAATATGGGGCTCTTCAATTGACCGAATGAGATAGATATCGATTATCTGAGATAAATTTAAATTTACGCGCGATATCTAATTGAAATAAATTAAAGTCTTTAACCAATATACCTAGATGCACAGACAGGCGGTCACACATGCTTTTTGGCTTGTCTGAATGTATTTAGAGAACATGTATGTATCTTTACCGATTCAATATCCGAATTAAGTATATTATAGTCAAGGAGCAGTGGACTCGTTCTGTCATTGGAGTTATGAAATAACCTTATTATGCCTACTAGTCAATTGTCTTACAAGCTAGAAAAATTTGGATACTATTGGCAGTCGTGCTCTCATTTATTTTTAAAAGGAAACAAGAAACACATGAATATTGTTTTAAAGCTTTGCATATATAAGATATAAACAAATTTTTGTAATGAGGAATTTTATTTAATCATTTAAAGGTCACTATTTTGATAGACTAACATTTTGAATACAACTTATAATGTACAATAAAAAGTCGAATAAAATAGGTGCGTAAATGTCATGTGAAATAACTGAATACATAAAAAAATTCAACAAAATTCAATATTACCTATTCATATTGATAAATAAAAGATAATACTTAATATTACTAGAGGAGCTTAAATAAATTAGTAAACAATTCTTGAACCATGTCTTATGGCTTTTATGGCAAGCGATTTTATTTCTACCTTTCAGTAGTTAAAAAAAAAAAAAACCAAAACAGTTTGGAATATACTTGGGCCTACTTTAGTGCTTATGATCCACAATTTGATTCTTTTCAGTTCCTGGGTATTTCCTTTCGCTACGTTGTTTCTTCCTTTAGCGCTGCAGAAAATATTTTAATAAAGATTCTTCAATTGTTTAGCCCTCAGTACATTGAATATTGGAAATAGGACAAAAACATGTATATTACAGGCATGGAGGAGGAAGGCGCGTTTCGCACTATTAAGTATATCTGAATATACCCGGATTCGGATGGTCATTCTTTGTCCGTTTGTATCAGAAAAGCTGAAAATCTTAAAATTTTAATTTAATGAATGAATATATATGGATGGATAGTTAATGTTTAAAGCTTTCGAAATAACGATTTTTGTATTGATCTTACAGATTTTTTATTACTGGGATTTTTTATCCATTTTTCTCGTCCGCCAATTTGTATAAAACGAATTTCAAAGACCAAAGGCTTGGGCTGTCATTATTACGCCCGGATAGTTTAAGTTAAAAAGTGCACTTAGAAAAAAATGTATTTAGCCATTAATTTCCCTTGAGCCACTTCGAAGTAAGCAGCGCTCTTTGCATGGTTTACGGTATCTCCTGGTCGGTTATTCGTGGCTGGAGCTGAGTTACTTATTTGTGTAACCGATTTATGACTTCGTTATCATTAAATTATCATTATCATTGATTTGATTTGATTCTATCTGCGCACGGCATTGCCAGAAGACAACTTTATTCCATTAGTCACCATTATGAAAAAATCCATATTTATTTGAAGATCAATTGTGCACTTTCCCCCCATATTTGACGGCCAACATTTGCACAATTCTTTTGAGTCTCTATTACTTTTGGTTCACCTTCCTGGAAACCGATGGCAGTGTACAGTTATGGACTATACGCTGTCTACCCTATCCTTTTTACGATCTTTCAATAGATATCTCTAAATCTGTTTTAATTGTACACTTTACTTATTGAGAAGAGGTAACCGGGTAGAATCTTTTCGTTCTGTGCATACATACAGAGAGAGAGAGAGAGAGAGAGAGAGAGAGAGAGAGAGAGAGAAAGAAGAAGAAAGAAAGAAAGGGAGAGAGATATAAAGAAAGAAGAAAGAAAGAGAGAGGGAGAAAGACATAGAGAAATCAGGACGACCAACTGAGTGGACTTAGCCCCGAGTTCCGTGAGTCTGTCCGTCACAATCTATTACAAGTCTTAATAAACTGGACGCAGATCAATTAACAAAAAAAAAAAAAAAAAATGAAATTCACTTGAAAATGTAGGCAGCATATAAACACTTGATATTTTCTAAAATATATTGAAAATTTGATTAAAATCCTTAAGCAATAGACAATTGACCAAGCGGTCACATTTTTCCTAACTGCTAATTTCCAGCTGCTCCTTGAGTTCCGCTATTTTATGAAGTGTACATTGATTTTTGACAAATATGATTGTGAAAGTGCAAGTTCGAAAATAATTATAATATCTATGATATCTTCTATTCGGGAAACCGCTCTTGAAGCTTTCTTACCTGATTAAATGTAGTATTAATTGTCTACAGTCTATACGTTTTCCAGAAACACATTTGATATAATAAAATGAAATTGGGATTCGATCCGATTCGTGTTTCTTGTATTCAGCTTATGCTTGAGCTTCACCCGTCTCGAATAGGTGAAAGGTATAACAATAAATATGTTCGATGGAGTTCATGTTTCACATAAAACTGTAGCATTTGAATATATATTTTTGGTGTCGGCTAAAAAGCCATTGATATCGAGCTAATTTGTTCTCGGCTTATCTACATCCAACCGATTTTAGCCATGGAAGGCGTTAAAATAAATGTTTTTAGGCGACCATCTTGTCAATGTTATTATACCCTGAACCCATTTTCAATGGGAAATCAGGGTATAATGGTTTTGTTGAAATGTATGTAACAGGGAGAAGGAGGCGTGGCAGACCCCACAAAGTATATATATATTCTTGATCAGGGTGACGAGCTGAGTTGATTTGGCCCTGTCCGTCTGTCTGTCCGTCTGTCCGTCTGTCCGTCTGTCCGTATGTATGAACGCGTCGATTTCAGAAGATATAAGAGCTAGAGACTTCAAATTTTTTTTAAATGTCCGTAATTACAGCGCGCATATCAAGTTTATCATTAAAAATCGATAACTCATCTCGATCTTTTTTTATCGATAAAAAACCTTATCGAAACCCAGTTATAAAATTATATCTTCTACACCTTTATTGCTAGAGTCTCCAAATTTTTAATGTATGCTTATATGCAATTTATACAGTTTCGGTTTTTGTTAAAATTTACCCCCACCTCTAAATTCACCCCCTCACCCTCACTTTTGTAAAAAGCGTATTTCAAATACTAGAGACTTGTGCTTTGGCAATTACATGCATATTCATGTTATAATCATAATCTAAAAGTTTCATGAAGATCGTACGTCCAAAAAAAAAGTTATTAAACAATTAAGTTCTCATAGTAAGCGCACACTGCAGCCCATGCGTGTTTATGCGTGGTTGCTTGTATGTGTATGTGTGTGTGTATGTGTGTGTGTGTATGCGTTTGTGTCTGTATGCGTGTGTGTGTGTATGTGTGTCTGTATGCGTGTGTGTGTATGTATACCTGTATGTGCGTACGTGCGTGTGTGTGTGTGTGTGTGCGTGTTTTTGTGTAAGCTGAAAGTCGCGAAAAAGTATTGAAATATCTATTGCTCCAAGGGTTCAGGGGATCTCGTAGTCGAGCAGTCTCGACTAGAGCTTTCTTACTTGTTTTATTCTTTTCATTTGTATTTTTTATTATATATTTGTGTGTGTGTGTGTGTGTGTGTGTGTGTGTGTGTGTGTGTGTGTGTTTGCCTTGCCTCCCAAATTCAATACGATTCGATGTGGTAATCAAAAGATAAACGGGTGATGGATGCGCACTGGGAACTGAACCCCAATTCCGATTCAAGATAAGAGCTGGTGGTGGTGGAATCTAGACAGATTGCTTTCGTTTCTGCTAATTTCGGGTACAGAACGGAATGCAGAAGGAATAACAATCAAATGAATTCAGGAAGAGAAAAAACAACAGCAACAGCAACAGCAACAACCACTTCTATGCGAAACTGAAACTCAAAATTGACTCGTCGCTGATGCCGATGTCGTCAGCAGCGAGTTTACAGACGCACACACGCACAGTAGAATGCACATACATATAGTCGCACACATGGAAAGGCAAAGTATATACAGATCTCCGTCGCCGACGCGTCGCTGACTCGTTTCGCACATAAAGATACAAATGTATCTACAGCAGACAGCAAATGGCGTATATAAAATGATTGGGCCTGCGTCTGTGTGTGTGAGTGTCAGTCGCTTCGTGCGAGTGCGAGTGCGAGCGTGAGTGCTCTGGTGGTTGTTTTCATGTGCGGCTGTGTGTGCGTGTGAGTGCGCGCGCGAGCGAGACGGAGCGAGCCGAGTGCGCGCAACAGAAGAAGAGGGCAGCTGCCAACGCGTTTTATTGCCCATCGCTGTGCCTTTTTGCTTGAACTGCTGCTTCTCTGGCTTTTCATCTTTTCACCGCCAGCCGGCGACGGCAGTGGTGCTTGCTGCTGGCATGTGGTTGCTCTCAGCTTTCTGTTCGTGTCCGTTCTCATTCTTATTTCCATTCGTACTCTATCTCTCTGTCCTCTGTCCTCTGTCCTTTGGCGTTCTGGCAAACGTAAGTGTTGCGGCCGCTGCTTCTGCTGTGGGTTTATGACCTTTTTCATTTTTTTTTTTGTCTAACTAAGCAACGCAACGCTGTCATCATCATCCACATCCCCATCCATATCGCACACACACATGCATATATACATGCCTGCATGGGCTAGCCCTGGCAAGTGAGGCAAGTGAAGCATTCACTCCGGCTCTCAACCACCGTCAAGCGACACCTTTTCCCCTTCGCGGAACGCGTCCGTTCGTCTGTCTCAGTATCTGATTGCTCTGGCTGTTGACGTTGTGCCGTGGCTGCGGCAGTGGCTCTGTCTGAGGCTGTTGCTGTTGCTGTTGCTGTTGCTGCTGTTACTGTTACTGGCGGCTCTGTCTTCCCGTATACTCACTCTCATTTGACGTTGCTGTTGCTTTTTGCTTCGTTCTTGTCTCGACGCCACTTCGTGCGCCGACTGCGCTTCCACAACCTTCGCCTTCGCCTTCGCCTCGGCGTCAACATCGACATCGACATCGGCAGTGGCAGTGGCTGCGGCTGCGGCTGCGGCTGCGGCAGCCATTGACTGAACTGTCAAACTGAACAGCAAATATTATTTTTTGGACACTTTGCTCTCAGGTCGACGCCGCGTAAAGCAGACGTCCTGCTCCACACACCATCCGACAATTGATAGCTGCTTAGCAAGCGGGCTTCGAGAAGCGGACAAGAATGCTCGATAGCCAAATCGGGGTCGAGGTTTCCAATTTTCCTGAGGTGTCGCATTCGCAGTCAGACAGTAGAAGGCGAAGCCCGGAGCCCGTAGCCCGTAGCCCGGAGCCCGGAGCCTGCACGGCTGCCATTGTCCATTGTCTGTGCGTCCAATTGTGCAAATTGAAAGAAAAAATGAAACAAAACAAGAAAATGAGAATGAAAATGAAAACGCAAATGCAAATAAAAACGTGCTGTAAATCAACTCGAGCCGGTTCGTGTGCTGTCCAAAATAACAGAATTAATTATAATTTCGACAATGAAAGAAAAGGAACGCTCTGCTCCAGCGCCCTTCGCCCAACTGTGAGTGCGCCCATACACACATCCGCACACACATACACATCCGCACACTCATACATGCATATCTAAATGTGGATTACAATTTCGCGTGTGATTTCCAAGCCAAGCTAAAAGTTGACGTTAACAATACTTTCGGGTCGGCTCGAAGTGCCGTTGGCTTGCCTTGTTTGTGCTTTGCTTTCCGATTCTGTAATGCTTCGCGGTCGCTGCTCTTGGGCTGGTTCCCGGGACCATCCGTGCTTTGTGCTTCTCCCAACCTGCGTCTGTCCGTCCAGCGAGTCGCGTTCGTCGGTTTCTCTGGGCGCTGGGCGTGGATTCAATTATACTGATTTGTTGCCGCCATTTTTGACATTTCGGACGTTAATAGTGGATCTGATTTATCGTACAATGCTTCTCGTGCAAGTAACTTATATCCAACTGCCTCGGCTGACTCCTCCAGGTGACTATAAAAATGTGCGTAAGTAAATGTATAGTATAGTGGTATATATATACTTGAGTGAGGCTGTAGCTATTTAAAAATGAGAATTAGGCATATTCCCAATAATTCTACTCTAATACTACACGGCTCTTGACACTGGGCAAATCAAAGAAAGAGATGAGTGGACGGACGGACGGTCGGATAGGAAGGCTGACATTTCCGAAACAATTGTAGTCATAGAGCCTTTACAATAAGCTTATCATATCTAATGAATGGTCCGTCAATAATAACACCAATAAAACTACGCAAATGCTACACAATATTCACTCAACTTTGATACCTGGCAAAGCAGAGTAACAGATGAATAGACGGACGGACGGACGAACGGACAGTAAAGCTGACATTTTGGGTACAATTGTAGTAAACGTACTAACACACAGATATTACTTAGCTGCGGTACATTCATTTTTAGATAGAGTTAAATTAAATGAATATAAAAAAGAGCATTAATAAGTCGTACAATTGATATGTTGCGAGGCGTTACTGATAGTTATATGAAAACTAGAAAAATAAGTATAATAAGAATGTTTCATCTCAATCCATTTCATCAACACTTTTCTCCAATCTTATATACTCACTGAGCATTGCTCATTTCTGAGCATTGCCATTTCTGAATTTTATTTTTATATAATATACATAAGATATGTAACTATCCATAAGTATATGTAGACTTTTTACTTCCCCAAAATGTATATAAAACTAGAAAAAATTGCAACTGCTGATATTAAAATAATATTTAGTTGCTGATTATAAAATTAAGTCAGAAAATGATGTGAGCGAATATTTGCTTAATTTATCAACATAAAGCTATGCCGTCGGCGAAAATGGCAAATTAATATTCTAATCCTGCTGCGAAATAAGTTTGTCAAGTAAACATATTCCACAAATTGTACAACATGTTGAAAAGTTTGGGCCAATTCGTTCCACAGAGTTGCATATAGAATAATTGAATTATCATTCCATTAAAACATATTTGATATGAGTATAATCTAGTTTTGAGATTAATCGACAACCATTTTCTTTGTAGTTGTAGATCTACGAAGTACGAAGACGAAGTAGCCAACGTCTTGTCAAGAAGATAAATATGCTATATAAAAAACAAATTCTGATGAGGTAAGTTGTATTCATTAAGTATTGAATTATATGAATCATTAATAAAAATCTGAGTGAATATTTAGTCTAAAACTATTTAAATACTTACTTACATTTCTGTTTCACTTATAATACTGTTTACTGTTATGTTGCCAATAAGCTATGAACCTATTCAATTACGAATAGATATAAGTATATAAATTACAGAGAAAAATTAACATATGTTAACTCATAAAATGACAGACGTTGAGGCCTGGCTGCAAAATGTTGAGCAGCCAGAGATCGGAGGCGCGCAGTGGCTGCTTTCCATAGGGAAAACGGGAATCGTTCAATGTGAGACAGGTAGCAGAGAGTGAGGAAAGGGTTAGCTCGGTTGCACTTTGAATGATTTATGATCCTACGAGCTGAGGAACGACCTTTCGCGTTGCATTCAAGCGAACGAATGACGCAAAATGCGATCCGGGGCACGGCATTTGGTTGTGGCATATTTTCGGCTAATGACGGTCCGAGATTTCTTCGGACTGGTGTGGTCCAGCGAAAGCGTGAAGACGGGTTCTTTTATGGGCACATCATAAAGCACCCGCCTCAGCAGCTCCGGTTTCCAAATATTTTGATTTGGACAAAGGCCGAGCAGAAACCACAGAAAACACACAGCAGGACATCGAATTTGGGAAAAAGGATTCGAGAAATGCCAAAATGCAAATAGAAGGGAAGGAGGTTATGCAACACGCACACATATGTACATACATACGTACGTATATGCATTTGTCACGCTCTCTGACTAATTGAACACCCATTGAATGCAAAAGCAAAAACCAATTGACTGACGTGTAGAACATCATGTCCCTGCCATAGTTTTATTTCCATTCCCATTCCCATTCCCATTCCCATTCCAAGACAGCCGCTCTTCGCCCACAGACATAATCGTCATAAATAAGAGTTCAGCATTTGAAATGCGTGAGTGTGTGTATAAGCTTAATATTCAACGAAAAGCCAAGCAGGGTGAATTAGGGTGAGCCCATACGCCGCGAGCTTCCCTTCGGGCGTGTCTCGCATACATGTGCCCCCTCCTTGGACAGGGCTGAGGCTGAGGCAGAGGCAGAGGCGATGAGAGTGAGACGCTGAAATCCTAATGCGCGACATAGGCATACGCTGAGGCTCCTCCTTGAGAGTCGCGGACAGTGCTCAAGCTGGTGTCGGGGCGTAGGTATCAGTTGGCTTGGAATCATGTAATTTATTCTGACACTTTCATAAGACGAATCCCAACTCTTGGCAACAAAGCAAGACATTATCGCCGCATAATTAATGCCACATGTTGCAACTCGGCGCGGCGCGGAGTGTTGAAAGTGTGGGCGGGGGAGAGAGGGGGCGAAAGGGGAGCGGCCGCTGGCAGTGCACCGCGACATAAAAACATCCAGACATCTCGATCTGAGGGCGCTGTCGCCGTCGTTGTTGGCGGCACCAAGAAAAATCATAAAGCCATTCGAGTTTTAATTACCTTGCTAGAGCGTCGGCCCCAAGAGTCATTTCCATATTGAGCGCTGCTCATTTGAATAAATTTATAAAAATGTTAATCAGCGACGGGAAAACCCACTGGAGCCAACCCAAGCCGCAAGTCCCAAAACCCAACCCAACCCACGCAGCTGCCCCACTCCATTCTAACTTCATTTTATTCACAATTTCCATCTCGCTCTCTGCTTGCCTCTCGTCCCTTGCTTTCTTTCCATTTGCGCTTTGTCTTCCATATTCGCCGGCAAGGCGCATGCGTCGCTCTGGCGATGCGGCAGAGGCCATTAAAAAATGGGCGGAGCTAAGGTCGCCATAGTCAAGGGTTCAACGCACAGACGCCGTGGTAAAATTCGGTTGTCTCGACCTCAGAGACTTGTCCGCCGAGCAATGGTGAATATGGAACGTGCTGGACTTGCATATCTATGTATATACAATTTCATACATACATACGTACATCAATTCCCATCATCAACTCGAGTATAAATATGTAGGTGTGCATATTCTGAGTGGACTGCGTATGCTCTGTAAATTTATAGAGCTGACAAGATTTTTAAATTGTAGCAGCTGTAATAAAATAGAAAATTCTTCGGTATTTAGCAAAATGAATTAATTCATATTGTATTAATATATCATTTTATTATATTATATATAAGCATATAGCATAGCAGAAGATGTTGGCATTTTAAAATATTGAATTCCTGCAGAATAACCTTTAGGTTTACTCTGGAATGACTCATAAGCTGATTACTCAAAGCCATCATCGATCAATCAATATACGGGAGAAATAAATACATTTATAGGTAAAATCATGCAATTATTATCTGATTCTCGTATTGACAAAATCAGACACTAAATTATAGTTTTATATTCTGTTCATTACCCTTATCATTAATCAATAAAAATAATACCTATCAAAATATTACATAAAACTGGAAGATAAATTCAATCGATTTCACAAAAAAATTTTTTGAATATTAATCATAACTAACATTTTAAAATCTTATTGTTTGTTCTTAACCATTGAAACTATCGTAGTTCACTTTACTTTTTTACTGGTGACCCTGAGAGTATAGTAGTGTTGATAAAGTAGTGAATTTATCGGATTGTTCGGATTTCTATTTACAATTACTTTGAAAATCACACGTTTCTATAATCAGCGGATTTAATAGTTTCACAGTCGCATTGCTGATTTCAGTACTAATAATCAGCTGCGGTATTAAAAATAGCAGTACGACTACTATAAATAATAAATAAATAGCAATAAATAATCAATAAGAAAGGCTAAATAACTCCATATGGTTATCTAAATAAATAACATTACATATTAATTAATAAATATTAATTGCTTTCTAAATGCTCTGCTTAGCATTAATATTCAATAGCTATGAAAATGTGCGCCAAATTCTAGATAAATAAATAAAGCAATAAAAATACCTTACAATATATTATTTTAGCGTGAAATTGGAAGCATCAGACAATCACACATAGCTGTAAATACTAATTTTCGAACTGAAAGTGAAAATTACCTTTAAGCAGTGTCCATTTTTCTGTCTGCCCGTCCACCTGTCCGTCGCAGCTCAAACCAACTCGCCGCGTCTAGTTTCAAGAGTTACGATTTGGTATATATACGTTAGCCCAGTATAACGATTTATACGGAACTCTAATTTATGGGTCAAGCAAATCTGATAGTACTATGTATATCTAGTCTAGCCGAAACGTACGTGCAACGTACAAATTCATCATAAGTCGACAAAAGAATTATGTATCCATATATTAGAGTAAAATGATTAGTAAAGATTAGTAAAGGCGGAAATGTGGAATTCATAAATCCATAATACAACAATAACCCTAAAAATATGTCGTTCATACTTCCAGAAATATGGAAAATGTGAAAATGAATATCTGGCACAGTTCAGTCTGCTTACGCCTTATATCAATTTCGACGCTTAAATAACGTTACTCTAGATACCTTCTAAGAATTGGTGGAGAAGATTATATAGTCACACCTGTTCAAAGCGCGGAAACAGCATATTCAATATTGAAATAGTGAAAGGAACAGTCCAGTTACCGCTGAATTCTTCCTGATTGCTTAGACAAGCGAGTTTCAGCTATTTCTCGACTGATAATGAGTATTCTGTAGTCGGTAGGCCCTGACTGCAAATTAATTTTTTTCGATTCGTTTTACAATGACAGTTAAATATTTCCGACGCAGCCTATTAAAGCTTATTATTACATATTTTTTGGAATTATTATGGGTAAGCGATCAGTCGAATATAATTTAAAGAAAGTTGAAAGAAATATTTGAATACAATTTTAAAATTAATGTTTGAACGTCAAGAAAATCAACAAATTGTTTAATGAAAATGTTCTGATCGACGAATGTGCAAGATAATATATGCAACTCTAAGAATTCGATGTCCTATCGGAGTTCAGCACAGTTCAGTAGCCAGGTCACACACCCCCGTGCGGAGCGACCTCTGGTGTTGTTGGCCTGGCGCTGTACATGGTACGATGAGCTGTAGATGGCGTCGCTGTCAATAGAACAAATACAAGCGCATGTTTTCGGTTAGCAGTCGCTCTCTTCTCTCTTGCACTCTCTTCGGTTCACGCACACAAGCAAACATTCTGAAATGCAGCTGTGTTGGTGCCTCTGATTCGATTGTGGTGGTGTCGCAGCGGTCTCTATGGGATTCTGAGCAGAGCCATTTTCCGGATCGCATTCCGAAACATTCCAGAAAAACGTCCAATAGACAGAGCAGAATCTGAATGGGATTTGATATGAGACAGATTTTACAATATGTAAAATGTTTTTGTAGGTATGGCCTGTTAAAGTTCACATTAGAAAATCGTGTATCCAATTAGCTTTTCCTTTTAACTTGACATTATTTATTGAGCATCTTTCTATTTCCTTTCTCTGTCGAATGATTTACGATTATGAATTACGAGCTATGTTCAATAAACTAATTTTGAAAGCTGTCAAGAACAACGAACACGTGCTATGAAACAAATGAATTTAAAATACAAATTTGTTTGTTCAATCGCAGAATAAAAATAGAGAAACTTCAATTGACATGGGAAACTATTTACGAACTCTGACTGAGCCCCGATAGGCCCTGCCCAAAAGTCAAGTAGTCCATAAATTGCAGCAGCAACAAGTCTAGAATTTTAAAACAAAAACCAGCAGATTACAAATGAAAATGCCCGATGAATCTCAAGTGCTGAGCGAGGGATAAGTAGAATTTCATATCAACTGAAAGACGGGGGAAATTAATGAAAATGTAAAAAAACAAAATGGAAATACTTATCATAACCAAAATCCAATGCAGGCTGACAAGTGGATAGCTGGAGAGAATTATTTGACAAATGATTGCTCAGATCCTAAGTGCTCTTTTATGGAAGGACGAGAAGGATGCATACATAATCAAGACCTCCATTATGCGTCTGTCAAAATATGGTTGAAAGGGAAGTCATAACTAACTTCGTGAATTGGAAATTGTCAGGCACTTGATTGA